GTGTTTGGGGATTGGCTGTCTGGATGTACTGTGTTTCTGGTCAAGCAAAGCATTTACAGGAATGCTAAGGTTTAGTTGGTAGCACCCCAAAAAGGAGGAGCTCCGTCTTGGGCCTAGAAATTGAACTCTGTTCAACATCTCTTATCAGATAAATGATTTGCAAGTATTTTCTCCCATTCAATGGGTTGCCTTTTTATTCTGTTGATGGTGGCCTTTGATATACCAAAGTTTTTCATTTTGATGAAGTCCAATTTGTCTATTTTTTTGTTGCCTGTGTTGTTGGTGTCATATCCAAGAAATCATTGCCAAATCCAGTGTCATAAACTCTTTCCCCTGGAGCCCTGGGTGGTTTTTTTGTTTGTTTTTTATTTGTTTTTTTTTAAGTGGGCTCCATGCCCAACACAGGGTTTGAACTCACAACCCTGAGATCAAGACCAGAGCTGAGATCAAGAGTCAGACGCTTAACTGACTGAGCCACTCAGACGCCCCTGCAGCCCTGTTTTAATAAGTCATTTTATAAGGGTTATGGAGAACATCATCTTCAGATGGAGCAAGAAGATAAGTAAAATCCAGAGGAGGGGTTTACTATTTTGCCACCAAGCCCACGCCTTAAAAAGTAATCCTTGCAAATGGACTCTGATCAGCTCTGGTAGGAAAATAACATGAAAGAGGAGAGCTGCCTCAAGTCGGCAGTAACAGGGAACATCAGGGGAAGAGTCTCCATTTTATATCAACATTTACATTCTTTTCCTTTGTGGATCCAAGTTCCTTTACGTAATATAAGAGCCAAACAAATGGGAAGGGGACCCATGGGCTCCAGTCTGCTTAACTGAGTAATTTGCTCCATCTGGGTCTAGTTATCCAAGTACGTTTCCTCACCAACACCCCATCCAAGCTCCATCGCAACGTGCGGAGTGAATTTTGTGCTCATGGAAGACACATCCCAACAAGCATTTAGGGAAGGGCCAAGATCAAAGAGCTGGGTGAGAGACCAAGAGTGGTCCTGTCAAACTGCCTTAGCTCAGATTTGCAGAGTCCTTCAACTACTGACCCTGGCTTCCCCGGGGCAAGAAAACGACATGGTTTGAGCGGCCAAATCACCAACACCAGGATGGCCTCTCACTGGCAAGCTCACTAATGTATGACTTTGCACATCTGTTCTAAACACTCACCAGCACAGGCTTTGAGGCAACCCTGTCACGCTGACGAGGCTTCGGCTGGGAAATTACAATGAGAGTAATAATGACCAGTCAAGGTTGTACTGACACTCCAAAGACCAACACTCCTGCCAGCAGAACCATTATCATCGTCATCACTGTGACCTTATTCAGTGTAGGACAGCTGGAGAAACTGCCCCAATTAGCCCAAGTAGATGGGACAGCAACTACACGGTTCCTCTCTACTTACCCCAGCTCAGCCCTGATGGGCTGATCTCCCCTGGGTCTCCCCTGATGTGATTTAGGGAGGAAAGATGGTAAGCTTTGGAGATGACCTGTTGTGGTTGGACACGCTTGGGTTTACACCTCTGCTTTAACATTTACGAGTTGTTGACCTTGGCCAAATAATTCAGATCTCAGTTTCCTCATCTGTAAGCGGGAATAATTAAGTCTGACCTCATATGTGATGAAAAGTGGCAACGGAAAGTTCCCGGCACACGCTAACACCGAATATTCATAGTGTCTCTTCCCATGGTGAGCTGTGTGTCTTTCCCACTCCCCTTAAAGTTTCTCAAGGTCAGGAACCATATCTTCTTTGTTTTTAAGCGACCAGCCCATAGTAGACCCCCCATGAGTATGTGCTGAATGGATAAACCACAAGAATAATCCCCTTCCCTTAACTCTGTATATCATTCGGTTGTGAGGAGGAAAAACCAGTAAAGAATTTTCCCTGCTATGCCTTTACAGAATGAGTTAAACCAGCTTCCTCTTAGGAGTTGCACGTCAGAAGAACAGAGCTTCAACATCTTGTCAGATAAGGGAGATCTTTGTGGAGCAGAACTACCTGGAAAGTGTTCTGCATAACAATATACCCACGGATTTTAACTGAGCACTTACCCCAATTCCTTGTGGATTCATTACACTGACAGCTTGACAGCAGCATATTGATGCCTGTTTTCTATCTAACACAAGCTGTATGACTGCCTTGTGTTTAACCCACTCTATAAATTTGTAAGCAGCTATGTAAAAACAAAAACCTCAGAAAACAAAGAAAAGATGCCGGGTTGTTATTTCACTGAAAAACAATAATGAGTGTCTCTTTTCTGTGTTCCTCCCACTCTAATTGGGTATATTTGGGTTTTGGTTGTTTTCCTTTGCTCGAAGAGTTTGAATTTTGCAGCAGCTTCTTTTTGCCTGTTAAAGAAGGCTGTGCTCTAGCCCAATGCCACTCACAGTGCCAGTCACCCCGAAAATAAGCTCAGGCCAGAAGGTAAATCAGTGCACTGCTTTCTTTCTCAAGAAGTCTCACTATGAAAAAAAAAAGTCAGCTCAACTGAACAAGGTGTTTAGTGCCAAAGTTGATGTACATTCTAGCACAATCTCCTTATGGACAGGTGACAAAGAGCTCACAGATTGGCACCACATGTGGATCACACTTCGAGGAGCATTGTACTAGGTTATGGAACTCCTCATCTGCCTGAGAATGTACTGGACTGACCTTTACAATGGGCTTTTGAAGGATTTTAGGCCACCTAGTATCCTTATCCCTTCTTTTGGCAAAGCATCCCAATATCAAGGATCTGCCACACCCTGTCTCAGTCGATGAGATCCAGGTGGGGATACTGTAAGACCAGGGCCAGCCAAATGGTGCTCTGAGTCTCTCCAGCCACAATAAATGGAGATGATGATCCAGGGCCAACCAACTGGCATAATTCCATCTTCCTAGTTGGCTTTCAGACCTGGGAAGGGCAGTGGCCCTACTGCTGTATTCAGAGTGAATACCGGGACTCATGCAGAAACTATAAGGATGAGTCTCTTTCCATTAGACTTCAAGTTGTAAGGATGTGGGCCTGGAGTCAACAACACCCATGAGGGGAGAGCCTGGCTGTGAAATGGAGAAAAGACAGAGCAGAACTGAAAAAGAGACAGAAACTGTATTTGGAACCTATGGATAAAGCCTTGCATGATCTACAACTTTTCAATGATATATATGATCCAGTAAATTTCCCTTTTGCTTAGAACAGTTTATGAGCTTTCTAATGTTTGCAATGAGAAGAGTCTAAATTAGGCCTGGACTACTCTCCCCTGGGCTATTCTGAAATCCATACATGTTGGCCCTAAAAAGACAAAGCTGAAAAGGCAAAAGGTCTGGAGTTAGAGGAGCTGTCTAGTTGGGACTAGAGGCAAGTTACCAAGACTTGCCACACCTGAATTCCTTCCTCTGTTAGGTGATTAACATCTGCCCCATCCATCACCTGTTAGGTGAATATGAGAATCACATAAAAAGAGAGAAAATCACTCTAGAAACATATGAAAAGGCACTGCACAAACAAAAAATATTGTTATTGCTAGCCCAATGATAGTTATGCAAACTTCAAAATTCTGGCATCCATCACTATCCAGTTCCTACAAGAAATACATTGTTCTTAAAATAAACATGGTGGGGGGTAAGGAGAGGCAAACCAAGAAATAGACTCTTAATTACAGAGAACACACCGATGGTTATAGGAGGGGAGGTGGGGGGAAGGGGTTTAAATAGGAGATGGGGATTAAGGAGGGTATTGTGATGAGCACCGGGTGTTGTATGTAAGTGTTGAGTGACTAAATTCTTCACCTGAAACTAATATTACACTGTATGCTAACTGGAATTCAAATAAAAACTTAAAGAAAGAATACATCGTTTTTATCAATACCTGTATTGTGCTCTAGGAGGGAGAGCGCCCTCTGCAGGCCAGAAGTTGTAAAGCAAGGCAGCAGACTCAAAAGACGGACAGAATAGAGAAGGGGCAGCAGGAAGCCAGTCCAGATCTCAGGTTCTGGGCTGAGCACCAATGTGTGTGCTGTTGGTCATTTCTTGGGCCCACCCAGGACGTTTCTCCCCCATTGAACACAGCATCTAAATGACTCATGCTTATGAATCATGCAAGAAAAATGATGGTTTAATTTAGAACTTAACCGCTAGTAACTCTCAACCACTATTTTGCAACTTTGGGGTTATCCTAACAATAATATTATCATGCAGGTAGGCAGATTTTGTGTCTGTTTTACTGTTTTCATATCTGAGATCTAAGGGACCAACAGAACAACAAACTGCATAAAAAGATTAAATCGTTCTGTAAATTTTGCATTTTTTCCAAAAGTCAGAGTACAATCATTTTCTGATAGATAGAAACAGTATGAGCAGTCAGGGTACAAGACAGGAAGAGGCATTACTGATTTTTAAGCCTCGTTCTGAGTCTCTGGTCAATGGAAGTATCAGTGGATTGTCTTTTGATGGAAAAATAACATTTTTATATTTTCATATAGTTAGTGTGCCTGGAAGAAGTTTGTTCTTTACAGTTCCCTCCTTTGAGAAGCTCAAATCTGGACGGGGTGGGTGACACTAGTAAAACAAGTGTCCCTACATACTGGGTGTCAACACTGTGCCAGGCACGTACATCACTCCTAAGCCCAGCACCGCCCAGTCCACGACACCAGTGCGCAGGGTTACAGTTCCTCAGAAGCAAGGAGCAGGCTGAGCCCACTCTCCCTGCTCCCAAGGATGGCCTGTGCTCAGGTAGAGCAGGCTGGCCCTGTTTGTATCAGGCTCCATAAATATCACAGCTTTCTCTTCCTCGTCTCCATTGGTGCCTCTTCATCTTATAAAACAAGATAGCCCTACCCTATCATCTGGTTATCCTCAGTTCAGGGAGAGGGGGTAAAAGCCCCATGTTGTTCTCCAGTCTATGTGCACCATCACGAAAGCTGATGTCCTGTCCTCTATGGATCCAAGGCACAATAAGTTAAAAAGCAAAGGGGTAGAGGAAAGAGGAACTGTCTCCCTAAAAAGTCTCTAAAACTTACCAGTTTGGATAATGCTCTGGAACCGGCATAGATTATGCCCACATACAGCACCGAAGCAGGAAGCCATGTCAAAACATCAGATCTGAAAAAAGGGAAAGAGACCAGAATATTTCTGTCACTTTCTGTCCAAAAGACCAAGCTGGAAGGCATGACCTTTCAGATGCACCAAATACGACGGTGATTGTCTTAACATCTCTGAGTGACCTGTGAAGTGTGTGACATGGGCTGTGTCCACTGAGAGTGAGGGAGGCTGCCAAAGTCATCCAGCTATAGCCCGTCACTCTGCCAACTACCTAGTGTTACTGATCCTACGACGGAACACAAACGATCTGGAGATGGAAAAAGGCTTCCTAAAGTTGGGGAGAGAGAATAGATCTGAATTTTTTCAAAAAATTTTTTTTTACTTTATTTATTTATTTTGAGAGAGAGAGTGTGTTTGAGCAGGAGAGAGGCAGATAGAGACAGAGAATCCCAAGCAGGGATTCTGCACTGGCAGCACAAGGCTCAATCCCACCAACCATGAGATCATGACCTGAGCTGAAATCAAGAGTCGGATGCTCAACTGACTGAGGCACCCCTGATTTTTTTAAGGTTTTTAAGATTTTTTTTTTTTAAGGCCAGTGAACATTATTCTTTGGATTTTAAATAGCCAGAGGCTTTGAACCCATGCCAAATTATTACAAATTTTTAAAGGCCATTTACCGAGGCAATATATCAAACGGCTCCATGGAACCACAAAAGAAGGAAACAAGTGCCAAAGGACAGAATTTTAAAAAGAATACTAGAACTCAAGCTGGGTGGCCATGTGCTGACATCTTCCACCATTAACCTGGAATCTCTAAGGACTTCTGGAGGGCACGTTTCTTGATTCAATTGTGGCCACACCAAAAACTGCTTTTTTCTTTTTTTTTCTTTTTTTTAAATTTTTTTTTTCAACGTTTATTTATTTTTGGGACAGAGAGAGACAGAGCATGAACAGGGGAGGGGCAGAGAGAGGGAGACATAGAATCAGAAACAGGCTCCAGGCTCTGAGCCATCAGCCCAGAGCCTGACGTGGGGCTCGAACTCACGGACCGCGAGATCGTGACCTGGCTGAAGCCGGACGCTTAACCGACTGCGCCACCCAGGCGCCCCACTTTTTTTTTTTCTTTTTAACTTTGTTTATTTTGAGAGAGAGAGAGAGAGAGAGAGCAAGCAGGAGAAAGGCGGAGAGAGAGGGAGAGAGAAAGAATCCCAAGCAGACTCTCCACTGCCAGTGCAGAGCTTGATGTGGGCTCGAACTCACAAACCATGAGATCATGACCTGAGCCAAAATTAACAGTCAGACACTTAACTAACTGAGCCACGCAGGTGCCCCCAAAACTGCTTTGTTCAATACAGTTTAGAATCTTGCTGTCTTCAAGAAAGGCAAAATCCCGGTTTTTATATAGAGAACCCATCACTGAGGTTCCCTCAGTCACAAACACATTTGGTCCACTTACGCAAGTTCCCGGAGTTATTCTCATAATAGATATAAATAAATGAGACCATTCCAGCAGAATTTAACATAATAATCCCAGCTAACTCAATGAACTGCTCTCCTGGGATGATGCCTGCTCAAGAAATGTTCTTTGTGAATCTTATTAGCATGGGCAAGCATCTATGATCAGACCTGCTTTTGTACCCTTCCCAGGGAACCTGGTGCTAAAATGTCTCTAGTCTCTAGTTAGGCCTCCAAACCCTACTTCCTGAATATATTCATTCAGCAAATATTTCTAGCAATTTGCAAAGTGCTGACAGTGCTAGAGTTATTATTAACAGCAGCATCCTAATTAACATTTACTGAGCACTTGCTACAAATGAGGCAGTCTGCTAAGTGTTTTCTATGCTGTGTCTTTTAAAAATGTGTACAACCACCTTATGAAGAAAATGTCTTTGTTGTTATTATTATTATTATTATCCCCATTGTGCACATGAAATAACTGAGGCAATAAAGAGTTTAATTTGCCTGTGGTCAGAAGAGCTGGTTATGGCAAAGCCAAAATTTGAATTCAGGTCATCTGACTCTAAAGCTCCAGCTTTAAGCCACCCTTTCACACTTTGCCCTCAAGGACCTCATAATCTAGTGGTAGACACTGACATATAACAAACACAGCATGATTCTGCTCTGGTCACACACTAAGCATCTAATGACCTGAGGAATATTCTCTGTTCTTACTCGTCTTACTGCAATAAAAGATGTCTGCACTTCCAGCCAATAGGTGAATAGAGAAAGGCAGATGCTATTCTCCATCTTGATGGATAACAACATCATGCTTGACATCAAACCAATTGCTACTCCTCTAGGAAACAACTTCCCCATTAGAAGTCCCCCTTAAGCTCACAAAGGTCAAGGGAGACAGGATCCAGGCCCATGGCCCGCTGAGCACCACAAGGAGGCCCAAGAGCATACACAGCAGGGAGCATAGTGAAGAGGGAAGGAGTGCCCTGCGTGAAACAGCAGCACACCTACTGCAGCAGGCCCGGCGCTTCAGGATGTGAGCTCAGTAAGGCCCTAGGCATTTGTGCTTTGTTCCCTCTTAAACAAAGAAGACTCCTGCCCAGTCATATGCTCCAAGAGACCTCAGGGCATCTCAGTGGCCATGGATGTGGAAAAAAAAAAAAAA